CCCACTGTGTCTGAGAAACTAAATGAAAGAACTTGGCCCCACATGGGGCCACACATAACTAATGGAATATGACTGGATGACTTTAATGCCACAAACGTTCTTTTGTAGTTTCTAATTAAAGGCCCCAATGGGAAGTTCTCAAACCAGTTCCCTAGATGAGAGCATCCAATTCCTTAGAGAAGTATTCAGTCCCTGCAAAAAAGCTAAGGAGTTTGCCTCCAAGGGGCAGAGGAGAGAGTAGAGAAAGGAAGAGAAAGCTGGAAGAGTTTTCATGAAAATTCTTCCCTTAAACAAACAAACCGCGAAATAAGCAATGAAAGTGACAGGCTGGAAGAGATATCTTGCTTCCCTTGGGTAAACTGACAACTGAAGGAGCCAGACTCTATAGGCTGTGACTCAGAAGCAGCTTCTCTTAAAGCAAAATAGGGAATGGAGGGTCTGGCTGGACCTTGAACCTCTCAATATATCATCACAAACTCTCCCACTCCAGCACAGGGAACAAGCATCTCATCCTTGCAAATGGACATGCCTCCTCTTCATGCTCTTTAAACAGCAGTTTTATAAACTATATAATTTAAATGAACACATATATTCAGCCATTTTAGGAGAAGCCATTGTGTTGTGGCATTTTGCCTATAGACTCAATCTGTAGTTAGACATTTATCTGAAACAAATGAATACCATTACGTATTATGTAAAAAATAAAACTTCTGTATAAGAACAGTGACTCTTATCAATGGGCCTCGCTGGCTGATTTTGGACTAAAGGGGCCACCAGCAAATTGAACTGATTAGAATTTTGTCTAATGCCCATCACTTAATGGTCATTCACAAAGAGCTGTTGGATCAAGTCAGCAATCAGAACATGAAAGCACAAGATATCTGCATTTGAAAGAAGGCCACCCTGTAAGTATCTGTCATAGGTCCCTTGACACTTCATTAAAGATAGAAATTTCAAAAATAATTTTAGTGATGTTTAGAACAGAATAACGTGCATTTCCTGAATAATCCTCCCCAGAGGTCAGGACCCCTACTGGTAGCCTCAGTGGTCCTGCCCAAGGGATGGGTGCTAACTTAGTGGCACACTGCAAGCGACAGAGCAACTCAACAACNCCCCATCCATCCAAAGAAGGAAACAGAAGGCACTCTTACCTGTAAAGTCATAGAGCTGTGGCAAAGCATCCAAAATGATGCCAACCAAAGGCAGGTAAAGGGCGGCAACTTTGACCTTCACCTCTGGTTTGACACAACGCGGGTCCAGGTCGTGAGAACTTAGCAGGCTGTGAATGGCACTCACAGCTTTCCTTTGCGCTCTGCTAATCCTGTGGGCACAACAGGGAACGCCAGAGGTGATGGTGAGGAGAGATTGACCAAAATGCTCTTAAACAACAAGGGGTGGCCAGAAAGCGCCTAAACCATGGGGTGGCAACGGGGCTGAAAAAGGCCATTTTGTGGTGTCCCTCCCTCCCCTGTGCCTTTCCACATTCCTATCAGCACCTTTTCTCAAAATACAAATGCTTCTACTATTCATGTAACTGGTGAATGGTAGTTTTTCATCAAGTACAAGAGGCTGGGCTATACCCCTCAGTCGGTAGCATCATTTGTTTGTTTGTTTGTTTGTTTGTTTTGCTTTGCTTTCCATTTTAAATGCCAGAAACATACCCTTCGCCTTCAGCATCCAGGGCAGCGGCCAGCTCAGTGAAGAGAAGCCCGGTGAGGAAGTGCTGCTGGCGGTACTCCGGAGTCAGGTCGAACATGCTGGCGATCTTCTGGTCCTGGAAGCTGGAGCAGGAGCTCGAGTTCTACAGAAACGCAAGGAGCAGTTCTGTGAGTGACAAGCACTGAGATCAAAAGCACGAGGGCTGGTGTTTATTGAGCACGTGCTATGGCCAGGCTTTGTAAGCATGACCCGCTGAGGCAGGTACCGCTACTCCCCCCCACATGACAGATGGGGAAACCGAGACGTAGAGGGGTCACTTTGCTTTTTCCCATTCCCGCAGATGGAGGACCGCCCATTGGGAAAGATGAGAACAGGGCACTTAGGGTCTGTCACAAAGTGAGGAACACTCCCTCCTCCACCCACAATCAAAAGTTGAAGATGAAAATCCTAGGATAACAGTGAATGGTGAAATGGGAAGTAGATCCAATACTGGAGCTGTGAGCAGGCACTTCTCTCTAACAAACTGCCCCTTATTTGAGGCCCCTGCTTACTGAGCTGCACTTCTAAATATGGATTATGCACATTGTTTGAATTTTGCTGGGCTGGGGACTAGAAGGGGTGTCAGGCATGGAAGTATCAGATTTCCCTGTCCTAGCCAATTCCTGTGCTCTCATCCTGGCAGCACACTTTCTATTTCACTAAGAGAAGCTACAATGTCTCTGGAAATCCTTTATGTTTAGGTGAGGCTGGGCCTACCCCCTGGGCTCGCTAACTCTCTGGGGTAGTCAGGTGTGGGAGAGGACCTCCGGCAACGTTAGCACATTTGGAATTGCTGCTTGAAAGTCAGATCTTTCCCAGTTCACACTCAGATGGTCATGTAGCTACTCTCCGGCTCATGCCATTTGGCATGAATGGCCAAGGTTTTTCCTTTTTTAATTAATATGGCAGGATCTTTGTGCCAGTATCAAGGACTATGCAACAGAAATAGAACTTAATATTG